CCAGGCCAACTACATCAGCGGTTCTCAACCTATGGGTCGCAACCCCATTTGGGGTTGATTGACCATTTCACGGGGGTCGCCAAGCAAGGCTGTCTGCCATTTTTTCCCCCTTTTCCGGCGGGTGCCTTACCTCCCTTGAGCTGGGCCAGCTAGTGGTCGGCCTGCTCCGTCTCTGCCGCTTGCCAGCTATGCCTCGGCCGGCGCAGGGGGCGGAACCACGCATGCGTGGCGCTCCCAGGCAGGGAAAGTCCTTGACTTACGACCGGTTGGGTAGTCCTCGACTTACGACTGGTTTAGTCCTCGACTTATGACTGGTTTAGTCCTCGACTTACGACCGGTTGGGGGTCATGGCATTAAAAAGGTTGAGAACCACTGAACTACATCCAACCTCTTCCGGGCTTTAGTCTCCAAGTTGCTCCTTATCTTTTTCCTGTTTCTAGAAATGGATAAATCTCTTCTTGCCACAAAAGAAGACAAATTGTGATTGTTTCTGCTCTCTACAGTGAAAAGGAAAAGTGCTGAGCTTGTTAACTTCTGAGCACTGTGGCAAATAAATCACTGTAAAGTTCTATTTCTTTCCAATGAGTGAAAGTCTGTATATTTGTGGGTGTAGCAAAGTCCCCCCCCTGTATATTCAGAAATAGAGATTTGAAGAAAAACACTATAATTTTGGCTTACACAAATGATCATCCACCAGACCAAAATGCAAAATGCTGGCTATTAGATGCGCAGAGTCACCTTGCAACAATAGGGGTGATATAAACAAATTCAATAAATATAAATATAAATAAATATGAACCATGTATATGCTGACAAATATTAGAAAATATTGTTTATTTTGTGTCTCCAACAAGTGAGAAAGGGGATTTTTCTTTAATGGAATTTATTTATCTTAAATAGGGAAGAGCAGATTCATTAAGAGGGGGAGTCAGTAAAACTGCAAAACCAGAGTCTGCAGAAAATACCAGAATTAGTAAAATACTTTATTCATTTAACAAGTAACAAAAAAAACTTTGCCCAAGTATTTGGAATTGGCATAAGGCAATTCCCTAAATTGCCACTCAATTAGATAAGTCATATTAAACAACCTCTAACTTTTGCTGATTGATATATTATGGATTTGGAACACTGTCGCTTTTTATGATGAAGTCACTCTTGTCTCCATTCCCAATAGTCCAATTTATCTAAAATAATAATCCATACATCTGAAAAATTAATTGCTTTTCTGTTTTCTTCAAGAAACCCTTGTACACAAATGTTGCATTGACAGAGAATAAACCATTTATTCACTGAAGATCACACCAATTCTGCATTAGCACATTTAGTATCAGAAGAATAGACCTTGTTAACCCTAGCACTCACTTCACTGACATGTCTATGGACTTTGACCAAACTACAAATGCATTAGATTCCGTAGCCACCATTCTTTTTGGAAACAAATAAAATCCCATTGTTTACTCCAGCATTCAAATGTGCCATTTGATCACATTGGTATATAGTAGTGCAATACATAACCCAACTAAAGGCTGATTCAGTTTCAAAAGTTATGACACCAACCAAGAGGACCTAATTCACTTTCCAGGCTTAAGGCGCCCAATCTACAGTACTTATCTGGTCATTTTCTCCCTAATGGATTTCTTGTGGCAATGAGGAAGTAATGGGAAGAAGCCATATGAAAGCGCAGCTGTGCTACAGACTTTAGGTAATGTTTATTCTTCTCCATGCTGATTCCACAGTGAAATTCCATAAATTATACAATAGGTTTCATCTGAAAATATTCTAAAGGCAGGTTACTACCTTAGGCTAACCCATAAATTAGTTTTGTGCAAACCCATCCCTTCTGGCTTGTAGTTTATGATTTAGCATATTTGAATCTAAACATTATGGTCTATTCCATGCATCATGGTTCAAACCATGATTTAGTGTGATGTGATGTGTTGTACTTGTTTAAAGATGCCCTCTTAACTAAACCAGGGGGCATTTCTCCCAGCACATATTATATTAGCATATATTCTCCTGATAGTTGTTACAATTTTCTTCCAAAAAGGAGTGGAGTGAGCAAGCCACTCAGCCCTTTGATATGCATAAAAACATACAACCACTATTATCTTAGATAAAGATCCTACAGGATCCTAGAAGCACAAGTCAGAAATAATAATAATAATAATAATAATAATAATGATGATGATGATGATGATGAGGATGAGGAGGATGATGATGGAAGGGACCTTGGAGGTCATCTAGTCCAACCCCCTGCTCAGGCAGGAAACCCTACACCATTTCAGACAAATGGCTGTCCAGTCTCTTCTTAAAATCTTCCAGTGTTGGAGCATTCACTGCTTCTGGAGGCAGGTTGTTCCACTGATTAATTGTTCTAACTGTCAGGACATGTATCCTTAGTTCTAGGTTGCTTCTCTCCTTGATCAGTTTCCATCCATTGCTTCTTGTCCTGCCTTCAGGTGCTTTGGAAAATAGCTTGACTCTCTCTTCTTTGTGGCAGCCCCTGAGATATTGGAACACTATCATGTCCCCCCTCGTCCTTCTCTTCATTAAACTAGACATACCCAATTCCAGCAACCGTTCCTTATATGCTTTGGCCTCCAGTCCCCTAATCATCTTTGTTGCTCTTCTCCTCTTTCCAGAGATAGGCACCATAATTTAATTACTGCATGAATTGGCTTAAGACTTAAGAACTGGCTGGTTTTGCTTCTCCCCCTCCCCATTTCAATTCCACTGCTCAGTTGGATCCTGTCTTTTGTGCTGGATATGTGTGCGCCCACGGCCATGCTGTCTTTTTAGTCACAGACACTCACAAGACATCCAGTGTGAGTCAAGAAATTTATTGGATTTCTCATCCATTTGAGAAATTTACATCCAGTGAAAAGACAAATGCTTACACTTCCCTCGCACCCTGCCCAAGATCACATAAAAACTGTGCTTTTCTGAAATAATTCTTAAATTTTATTAGAAACAATTATCCCGACCAATCCCCATCCCCACCCCTTTGGTCTCTTTTAGCAGAAAGCTTTTACCAACCAGGGAATTCTGAGCATTTTGCAAAGGACAGGGAAATAAATAAAAGCAACGTGAAAAGCAAATCTACTACCACTCATGGGGTCAGATTTAAGTATGATGGTGAAGAGGCATGAGGAGCCCCTCTGTGGGTAAGAAGAAACTTATTCTTGGTGGGTAGTTAATGGGCTGTGCTGGTAGCTACCTAGAAGCAAAATGTTAGTTGTCAGAATCAAAGGTGGAGGAGGACCAATTGCTGATGCAAAGATGTCATTGCAGCACAGTATCCTCAAGGAGAGGCTTAAACTGGGAGATCTGGACCTGGTTTTCACGTGTGACAATTTCCAACATGGATTTAACTAAACATGTGGGAACTGCTGGGTGTACTTGAAAACTTACCATTTTTCAACAAATCCATTTTTACTTAACCCAAAACCTGTTAAGTTTTTGATCCAGAGAGAGAGAGCAAGAGAGAGATTAAGCCACTAATGCTTTTCCTGTACAGCTGAAAACCATTTTCTAGTAAGTTGCATTAGATGGAATTAGCAACCCGTTTTATTTTTCTGCATGTAAACCTAGCAATTCACTAGTTTTTTAAAAAAAATGCACATATGCATCTAAAACAATAATTTTGTCAACGATCGTCAGAGTTGAGTTGATCTCAGGCGTACTCTGTAGAAACATGATCGATATAAAATGCACACAATTGTCCTAGTGGTGGCTTTCCACATTGCCTTGGCAAAGAAAGATCCATATTTATCAAACTAACGCAAAGAAGAAAGGATCTGCAGAGCGAATAAGCAATTCTTCTCTGCAGATGGCTTTGGGTCTGTTTCTTTTTCTTACATAAGCTCAAACATCAGATCCTCTGCTCTGTATCCCTCCCTTTGGGATGCCAAGAAGACAGAAAATTAAGCTCCTGAAGAACATCTGCCCTCCTGTACCTTCAAAAAGCAATAAAACACTTTGCAAAATCAAACAACCCATTTTCCCTCCCTGACTCTTAAATCTATCCCTCCACAAGCAGAGAATTCCCAGTTCTGTTTTCTAATTTTGTTCCTCTTGGTGAATTTTCAAGACCAGCCAACATGGGTGACATGATTAAATAATATTATTACGATAAACCACCTTTTGGTGAATCCAGTTAGACTTGGCTTCTTAAAGCAGGCTGAGGTCTTTTTCCCCCTCGTGGCACCCTGTACTCTTCCTTCTTTCAGTGCATGTTTTTAGGTGGAGTGATTCTTTTAATTTGCATTAGTGGATGCAGAAGACAAAGAGAGAGCTTCCATTACTGCAGTTCAATAGTCTACTGATCCAAAGACGATGGTATGATGTCCTATACAACTTTCCTCCTCTCTGTTGCCTGTTCCCTTACCATAATTGATGTGCCCTTCTTCTTTCCTGTGCTTATTGCGCCCAGATTAGGTGAACTTTCAGCTGGAAATAAGCATTTCCATCTTTCTTCTCACAAGGGCGAGAATCCAGGAGTGTCTCCCGTGTAGCTGCTTTGGCCACAAAGGAACAATGCCAGGAGGCGTACAGTTCCTAAAAGGAGATGTTTTTTGGGAGAAGTCTCACAACCCCACACTTGGCCTCTCCCTACAGCCTCCTTGCATATACAGTCGCACAGTACTTCCTTAATCTGCAATCTGGAGTTGCAGAATTTCCCAACCACCTTTTTCATTCATCCCAGGTTTGAGGATCTCCACCTGGCTCACTCTCCTTTTTGCATCAGAGGCTCTTCAAAACCAAAATAGCAGCGTATGGCCCCATTACTGGGCACTCCCTTCTTAGCCAACAGCACAAAGAAGGCAGAAACAAAAGTCGAAACCTTCCTTCCACTCTTGTGCTTGGTATAGGTGAGGGGAAGTCAGAGGTCCCACCTCCTTTCCCCCACCATTGGGGTTTGGCTGCCAAGCAGTCCCACCCAAGAACCAGTGGAGGCCACTGGGTTTCTCCCTGTCTCAGAGGCAATGGAAGACATTCACTCAGCTCTCAAACTGCACTGTGGCCAACTGGTGGAAGCTATCTGAAGCTAGGAACATTTGGCCCAGACGGTAAAGCAGGACAGAGTACCAGTGCAGACCTTCTGGCTGGGTCCAGTCACGCCCTGCCCAGTGGAGATACAGTCGCAAGGGCCAGAAAGCCCACTGAGCCAAATGATGGTCCCGCACCAAAGCAAAACAAGAGGCTACCACTTCATCCACCACCAGAGTCCCATGACTGGTGAGGGGCGCATAGGCACCAATGTCCACCTGCAAGGAGACAGCTGCTACCCTGGCCGGCTGCAGCTGTCCCCCCTCAGTTACCAGCACGTATTGACCTGGCTGGACCAGGCTGGCAAAAATAGTCTTCATGGGTGCGGTTGCGTTCTCCCCGACAAAAAGGAGATGTGCTGCTGTGAGAGCCAAGCGGCGGGGTGGGTCCTGTGTCTCAATGACGTGGAAAGCGGTCCTTGATGACAGTGCCTTATCCAGAAATGCCAGGAACTCACTGTACACGAGGTGGCCTTGTGCATCCATGGCTTGGACCCGCTGCCCGGGCTTCAGTGCCCACAATGGAATCTTGGTCCCACTCTCTAGAGTTGCCAGGGCCCGGGCTGGGAAACAGCCTCCCGTCTTTGCTGCTGCTGAATGCTCTGAACAAAAAGAGAGAAAGAGTGCAGTCTGGTTATTAGAAAGAGGGGAACTCAAAGGCAGGCATAAAAATTAATGGGAGATGGAGTGAGGTGGGAGGGTCTCCGGGCTCCCTATAGATTGGATAAATAGGATCAATATACTGTATGAATAAACGTATTGCTGCTGTGGTGAAGGGGAACAGTTTTGAAGCAATCCGCTGCATATTCATCAGGAAGAAATACAGACACAAAAATAACACGGATGGTGGAGAACATCGAGAAGAAATGTGTTTTTCCAGCTGTAATCTGGCCAGGAAGAAATACAGATTCTGAAATTATAGAGCCAACTCAATACACCTTCTGGAAGCTTAACACCGCTTCCATATAATAGCAGACAATTCTCTGGGTGGATGAGTGGCAAATGTTTTTTTTTTTTTAAAGGGGTTTGATGGAGAGTGGGAAATAGATTTTATACATCTAATTGAGGAACAATTTTATGTTTTGGGGGGTAAGATAGATTGGCTTTGGAGACTTGACTTATATTTAATTAACCAGCAATTGATAAGGGATAGTATAAAGAAGCAAATGTGGGTATTTGATCCAGGATCAATTAGGATTAATATTTGGGATGATTGGGGACTAAAGCCATGGTAAATTTTCTACAAGTTGATCAAAATAACAGCTTGTTAACAGAGTGTTTTAGTATTTCAACTTTGGTTTTTTTATTACTGCTTACAATTTCTATTATTCTCGTAGTATTAAATAATATGTTTATTATTATTGATTTTACTACTAACCATTTTGTTATTAATATAGTTCATAAATGATAGGCTAACAATTTGTAAGTAGACTGAGTAGTTTAACAGTTTGAAATTTTGTTGGCCTGTTATGCAAGGGGTGCAAAACCAACATTGTTGTATTATACTAATCAGCATTCAACTAGGGAGGATGTTAGGTGTATATGTGTTAGTATCCTTAGGACGTTTTTTTGGTTAACGTCTTTTTTGTTGTATTTTTTTCTTTTGTTGTTTGTTTAAAAATATTTTGGTATTTTGTATTTTAAACTTTTTTGAATAAACTACAATTTTCTACTATAAAAACCAGTTTTGAAGCAACAAATGAAGGTTGGTTTTCTTTCTCAATATGGAATGACTAACACATCCAAAGTTCCACCTGGATGTAGGAAGGAGAATCAGTTTATAGTAATGCAAAAGAGGGAAGATCCTTTTTTTGCACAATTTAAGAGACAGTGGATGCAATCCACTTCAGCCATTCTAACTTCTATGCTGCTAATGAGTATAGTATTAATCTGTATTTATTGTTTTTAAAGAAAACAAAATAAATTGCTCCCAAACTCCCCAAAGAATTGTAGAACCTGTTCTTTGATCATAGTGCTTGAAAGCAACTTTTATTCCTACTCCTCCCAATTAGTTTTCCGGGGGGAAAGTTCTTATGGCAGGAGAAGGCTCAAAACGGAACAAGACTCTTCTCTCTTAACAGCTATGAGGAAGAGAGAATTTCAGCAAGTACAACTTGCACGACAGGGCACATCACTGATATTTTGAGTCCAAAACTCTTTGGCAAGCACCCTGCATCACTTCTCCAAACTGATCATGGTGTAAAGAAGAGTGAAGAACCACTTCTCTGGCCCATATAACCCAATGGCAAGATAAGGAAATCCATCCTTTACTCAGAAGGTAAACTTATTGTTCTCCAAATACTTGGACAACAAAACACATCATTACTTGCCTTTGTCTCTTAAAGGTCTGTATTTGCTGCAGGAGGGAGAATAAGAGAAAAGCAAACCAGATATCACAAGATGGTCTGCACTCCAGACACAGTTCTACAAGTCCTGGACTCTTTCTCTGCAAGCACTTCTTCATTCTCAGAGAAGAGTTCAGAGAGATATGTGTATTGATTCCTCCGATTTACTATTATGTCTTTGCACAGAAATAAATGATGGCATAAAAGGATCCCTAGAAGAACAGCACATGGCAAGTATAATTCAGTCGTAATTTTTCTGCATAACTTTGTTGTTCAAACTTAAACATGATTGTATTCCCTGTGTGCCAAGACCAATCTGCCTTCTTTAGACCTCAAGTCTTGGAATATCTCACTGGGATTCTGCACATAGGTGCTACAGGAATAAGGCTAGTCTGCAATTATGTGATCCTATTTGACCTTAGATGGAACAGAGAAGGATATATAGATGTGTAATTCAGGGATCCCAATGCTCTCCAGGTGGGATATTACAGAGAGTGGCGCACACTAGCAGCTGATGAATGCTACTCATAAGTAACCATGAACGAGAAATCAAATATATATATATATTTGCCTGTAATAAATTGACATTCATTTGAAAGTAGATTGATTCAAGCTTAAATTGGCAATAACTCTTCTACGTGAACATTTTCCAAGTTTGTTCTAGAAGTTCATTGCACTGGGAAAATATGTTTCATTACCGGAGCCAAGCACATGTGCTACAAAGAATATTAAACAGTTAAACTGTCCAGTTTTGTTTTTCAATATTGCATAGATATTTACAGAGTCCAAGCAAGAAAAGAGATGGAGAGACAAATAGGCCAGATTACAGAACTGATACAGATGTTAAGTAGCTGTTATCAGGCCAGATATCTGGGGTACACAGCATTACCAGTCACATAAAAATTATCTGATTAAACACAAAAATCCAATTGCCATTCAACCAATTCATTATCGTTATATAGTTTCTATACAACCCTTTCAAACAGCTCAAGGCTAAGGTATCCTATCTGTACTGCCCACTAGGTTTTCTAATCTCCATCTGCCTGAAATCCTGAATAAAGACCTCTTTTAAGATTGTCTGTTCCCCCAAGTGCCGGTTCTCACTACCAGCAGGAACTGGATTCTCTCACTTCAGTGACCAGTTCTTTATCCCTGCAAAATTCTCCTCCTCCAGTTGTCCACTACCATGACAATTTTTCTGTCTTTGAATAATTTGGAACATCCATTTAGAAATGTGAGCATCCAGAAGCAGACAGAGTATCCCAACAGTGTGCACAGCATTAATAAGATAAAGCAAAACTGCTTTGCTATTTTTGCCCGCAGAGCTTAGAGAAAGTGTCTTAAATATATGATCTGGGGAAATCACCTGGCAGTGATCTATCAGCAGTCCAGGATCTCAGCTTGGCAACAGACAGGCCACGGTACCCAGTGCAACAACTCAGTTATGAATATATCCATAGCAGTTCTGCTGATATCAAGGCTTTGGATACCCAAAATCCAAGGGGGAGAAGTTGGATAAAGTTTCTTGACACTTGGCTAGCAAAGCTCCATCCAGTGGTCTATAAGGCAGCATTGTCCATCCTAATACCAGAAGGGAGAGGCTGTGCTCCACTCTGCCTGGACCAGTCTCTTTCTCCAGCGCCGTTCACTCCGGATAGGCTGCAGTCAACTGATGGAGATTTGGCTGCTGGGCCAAGCACTGTAAGATCAAGCCTGGGCAAAGGCACTTCGTTCCCATCAGCGACAGAGCCTGTGGGTCTGGAAAGGGCTGGGACACCCGCAGGTCATGCTAATGGTCAAAGGACAGGAACAAGAGGCCACAGTCAAAGCGTGGTACTCTGGCCACCAGGGGGAACCCCACAGCATATAATCCCAACAGACAGCATAGGCCTTAGGACTGGGCCAGGGTTCAGGGATGCCTTCTGCTGGACAGAATCTATACTTCTGGGCTTACATCACACACACACACAAAATACTAGCTAGTGTTCTCCACTGGGCCAGAGTAAGAACTTCCACCTATGTTCAGGTGCTCAGGCTAATGCTGCAGGGAAAGGTTGTTTTACAGAAGATACCTCTCTTATCTCAACTACTCTCCACCATGCTTGGTAAAGAGAAGGTGAGGTAAGAGAAGTACCTTCTGTACAACAACCTTTCCCTGCAGCATTAGCCTGAGCACCTGAATATAAGTGGGAATTCTTACTCTGGCCCAGTGGAGAAGACCCTGAGGGGGAGCCATGCTGAATGAAGGTTGTCTAAATCCTCATACGTTAACTATGGCTTATATCCAATGTTGCCTTTCCATAAACAGTAATGGGATGTCATTTCTTGTTAATTACCTCACCTCACCTATCATATTGCTCTGGGAAAGAAAAAGTCCCTGGTCCAGAATCAAGGAATTTCTTCCCATCCATTCCATCGACAGTCTCAATGCCGTCAGCTATGAGGACAGAGTCCTTGGAAACTACACAGATGATTTGTGGGATGACACTGGTGCTGCTGATGCAGCAACGAAGAGGGAAAAGGGGAGGGGAAATGTGGTAAGGCACCATCCATTCCTTCAGCCCGAAATTCTACACACCTATCAGATTATCCTATCTTTCCTATCTTTGTGTCTCCGGCTTCCTCAGAGTCCCCATTATCTCCATTGTTGTCTTTTATCCTGTTCTCAAAATAACGCCTCACCTGATTTAACAGAGCAGTGAATGTGAGCCTTGGATTCATAGTAAACCCAGTCAAAACCAGCCTCCACAGCCAGGCGTGCGAGCATCCCATACTTGTTGCGGTCCCGGTCAGAGGTGGTGATGTCAACAGCACGGCCTTCATAGTGCAGGGACTCCTCTGAGTGGTGTCCATCTTCATCCCAGCCTTCTGTCACCCGGAGCTTCACCCCTGGCCACTGGTTCATCACTGAAATGGCTAGGGAGTTTAGGCGGTCTTTGCAGCGCTGTGGGAGAAGAACAGCAAAAGAGGAAGAGATCAGCAGCGCAGATCTCGCAGTCCGGAGGAAGCATTATTCTACAGCACACCATTGAAAGTCTTCTGCTTCCATCTAAGCCAGGGTCACACCCTGTCAGTGCATGTGCAAAACCCTAATGAAGCAAAATGGATCCTGCCACTTCCAATCACAAAAGCTTGTTTTTAAAATCCAAACTCCTCGAATATGGGGGCGGGTGGGGAAAGGTGCAATCCATCTTTTTCAATTTTTACTTCTATACTTAAAACAACCCATAACGGAGTAATGAGAAAAAATATGATTCCATGCCAACAGTCTAAAGCAGGGGTAGGCAACCTTGGCTCTTTTATGACTCGTGGACTTCAACTCCCAGAATTCCTGAGCCAGCATGGCTCAGCTTGGAAACCTCTCCCTTTTCCCTCAGCATGACTGGCTGAGGAATTCTGGGAGTTGAAGTCCACGAGTCATAAAAGAGCCAAGGTTGCCTACCCCTGGTCTAAAGCATGGCTGGCTGAGGAATTCTGGGAGTTGAAGTCCATGTGTCTTAAAGTTGCCAAGGTTGGGAAACCCTGATCTAAAGGAATGTAGTAATCAGAATATGACATTCTCATTCACAACTGAAAATAGTGTAATCTCTTCTATCAGCCTGCAGGGTTTCCATCTCATTCTAATTCCTATTAATCTAGGCCCTTACTCCCATTAAATTAGTTTTTATTCAGAAATAAGTTAATATAACTTAAAATGCCGACATCTTCATTTTGCTCAGATGAGAACTGTGTTCAGTGTTCCAGCTGTAGATATTTACCACAAATCCAACTGTCTTACTGGCAAAATGGACCCCTCCCTTCATAGAGGTTGGCAACAGCCCAGGACCACATCAGAATGACCGACGTACACAAGATGAGGTTATGCCACAAAGTCCACTCTGTGTAGTTGCAACTTGATGTCTGATGTGCGTATGTAACTCATCTTTTGCCTGATACTGTGACAAACATTTTGCCACTTGCCTTCTCCCCCAAGCAGAAATCATGACTGCTTTCTATTAGCGGTGGAAGAATTACCATTTCCGGATGGGAGTAACTTGAGAAAGTTACATTGCAGAACACCAAATCACAACCTGTCTTATGCTATGTAACATTTCAAGACAGCAGAATAGAGAAGGCTATTTGGAGTCCTACAGATTCATTTCCATAACTGTATACAGTTTAGAGTGACTGATCCAGTTTAAAACAAGGTAAAACTTGATACAAAGACTTTTGAGTCAAATCCTGGCAAAATACATAAATAAGTCCAGATAAGGTTTTTTTTTTGAGAGCAATACAACATGTGCCATTGCCTTCATGTTGCTTTGCTTTTACCTTCCTGATGTAGCTCATAGCCTTGGGATTTTGCTGTATCCAAGTATTAATTAGTCCAACACTCACCCCACTGATTTTTTTTTTCCAATTCAGACAAGGTCAGTTAAGTGCAGCCACTTGCTATGGGGTAATTATCCATTTGTGGAGGGAAGAGGGAATGGCCTTGATGGACAAGAGAAAGAGCTGCTACCAAGGCAACAGTCAGATTAAAGGGTCCTGAGCCCAAGTCAAGAAGATACAAGTGAGTAAATGATTCAAGCCCCTCTCCCTGGTTCATACAAAGATAAAGGGGAGGAGTGGAGAAGCACATTCAAATTTGCAAGGTTCTGTTTCTATGGCTCTTCCAATAAAAGTAGTTTTAGATCTCACATGGCTTTGGCTTCTTAGTCTACTATCCATATCTCAGCTATCCATATGTGTACAGTCGTTATTAGTCATTTCGACCCCTTTTAACCTATTTAAAAAATTCACCATTACATAAGCATTTTTACCAATACCAATTTCTATCAAAAGGTGAATTTCCAAATGAACAGAACCACAGAATTTGTTGCAGCGAAGAGGTCTCTTGCACCTGGAAGACTGGCGTATTTATGATTGGAATTACATTCTGGAATTGCATTCATCAGATGCCTAATATGTAATCCTAAGTTAGTGGACACTGAGCACACAAGCTTTGTTGGTGGGAGTGAATAGCAGAGAGGAACAAAGCCAGTAAGAAGAAAAAATGTGACAGTAATAATTGCAACATAATTACTGTGCTTAGGAAAAAGTCAGTATTGGTTCCAACAAAACACTAATTAACTTATGTATTGTTAAAAATGTGTAATTCCAGTTCAAGCCACAGAGGATCAGAACTGAATTTTCTGATTAATGTCTGCTTATTTTCTACATGAGGGAATCTTCCTTCCAAACAATACTGGCCGTAAGGATCCAAATTTCTTATGTCATATTTCTAAATATATTTTATATTATTCCCATATAAATTTCAAAACGTATAAATATATTTGCGGAGGGGGCAGGGGGCTCAGGTAAGTGAGCTAAGAATTAATGCACCAATATATTTGGGAGGTGCAAAAATGATTGGAAACCAGGTTCCTACAGTATTTGTCCCATTCACAAAGATTCCTCCAACATCTCTAATACTTTCCTCTCACAGGGTTGGGTAAAAGGTTGAGTTTAAAACATTTCAATATCAAAAACGTGTCCTGAATCAAAGCTGAAACTGCAGCCATGTTCTAAACGTTTGTCTTAATCTCAGAAAAAAACACCTCGGTTTTGTTCTAAGATTGTTTTATTTGTTCCAAGAGCTTCAGGTTGTATGATTGGTTTGGTATAAAATTATTCCCCCCCCTCCCCCTTTTTGCCAGCAAAGCCAGTAAGTGTCAGGGACTGGTTCCAATAGTGTTCTCAGCCAAGACTGAGTGGAAGGAAAAAGCTAACGTTACTTCAGTACATATATCAACATCTAAGGGGTTGTAGATATTGATTCGGTTTAAGCAAAGCTGATCACACAAGCCTCCGACCAATAATAGGCTAAGACTGTTCCCAGTTCCATTCTAAAACCAGTATTAGGAAAACAATAGCAAAAGGAAAAGAAAACTTGAGAATCGAGACAACAAATGGGTGCAGATACTGTTCAGAGAATCTTTCCTACTGGCCACTGCTAAGGGACAACAGAAAAGATGCTGACTGGATTTAATCCTCATTTTAAAAAGCAACTGCAAACTTTTGTGGGGTGTCTTCTGGGCAAAATGCAAAACCACTGTCAGCTTCAAGTTGGGCACGCTTCTTAGCTAATGGCGTTAGCAAACCCAGATTGCATTTCCTTCCTTGTTGGAAATTGGAATGGTGAAAACTCAACCAAAGAGCATAGGGGACAAGAAGGACATAAAACACAGCTCCTTTCCCCTCCCCTTTGGTCTTATCTCTTATCAGACAGTATTGGTGGGGACCTAATAACCCATCAAGTGCTGCTACAATACAATCACCATGGCCCTAATCAAGCTAGCTAGTGATAAGGGATAATAAAAGTTGCAATTTAACTACCCCAAGAGGGCCATAGTTTCCCTAACTGTTTACAGGCTCTTTTAAACCAAGACTTTACAAATTCATGCCTGTGAGGTCTGTTTTTTATTAGAATCTGGAAGCCCACGCCTCATAAAGTAAAGGTTTGCTGACTATAGGGGCAGCGCTCATCTCTGTTTCAAGGCCATTGAACCAGCACTGTCTGAAGATATTTCTGCAGTCATGTGGCCAGCATGATGTCACGGAGTACTGTTACCTTCCCACCAAAGTGGTACCTATTTACCTACTTGCATTTACATGTTTTGAACTGCTGAGTTGGCAGGAGCTGGGACAAGGACAGGAGCTCACCCTGTCACGTGGTGTTTGGGTCTCAAACTCAGGCTGCTGGCTTTCCAACCAACAAGCTCAGCATCTTAACCGCTGAGCCACTGTGCTGCTCACTCGTCGTAGCTACTTGAAAAATAGCGGGATGCTAAGTGGTCAGTTATTCTTTGCACTTCATGAGTCACACACTGGAGAAGTGAACCGAAATACTCACCTAAGGCACTACTGTACAAATCTATACCTGTACATAAAATTCTCAGTCTGAGAGTTGCTGAGTTACATAATTAACTTGGGCAAAGGCATTTGATATTTCTATTTCACCGGTGACTGACATCTGAGCAAAAAGATAAGTGATTGCAAGGCAAGTGATGGCAAAGAAGGATTTGTTGTTGTTGTTTCATTAAAATGCACTTGATGTCATTGCTAAAAAAAAAAAACATTGGGAAAATTGCTTCCTGATCTATTGCAAATCACTGAGTGATCTTTCACTAGATCATTTCTACACAACCCTGCTCTAGACTGAAAGAATTCTGGAAATGTATAGCTTTTACTTTAGCAAAATTCTGGGGCCACCAGATTTCAGGAGGACCCACCATCACAACTCACCTCAACTTTTGTATATGTTTTAATGGCTTTTTATTTGCTTTCAGAGCTACAGTGGGGTTGGGGGGATTGTTCTTTAAGAGTTTGATCTTTTTTGTAAAACAGTTTTGTGGCCGATCTGAAGCTCCCTTAAAGGGCAGCACTGCATTTATTGGGTTTTTTTTTCTTTGCCAGGTTGTTGTGGCTGTCAGATTTTTTTCTTGGGTGCCACAAAGTCTGGATGTAGACCAGTGTCCTGTACAAATAAAAGTGGTTCACTGTTCACTTTTGAAAATGCAATGCAGAGTTATACAGGCAATTTGTTTGTTAAAGGCACTGTCCCCTCCTGATTTTGTTTTGTTTTGCAAAGTTGAGTATACTTTGCATTCCAGCCTGCATCGTTTCTTCAGAATCTCAGGCATCCTATTCTGATATCAAGAAGTATCATATAATGTGTATAAGAAATGTTATATAACATGCGTTTTTATTTCTACCAGACCGCAAACCCTTAACCTCGCTTATGTACTGCCACGCTTCTTTGCATTACCCCAAGGGTTTTCAAACATTGTTTTCCTTCCATTCAATCGTGTCGGATTCTCAGAGACTGCCTGGACAAATCTCTACAGTTTTCCTGGCAAGGTTTTTTTTTCAGAAGAGAGTTTGCCATTACCTACTTCCTAGAACTGAGAGAAAGTCTAAGGC